AAATGAGCTGCATAGGTGTAATACCTTAAACAAGAATAGAAATATAAATACAGTATAGCAAAAATGACCTTAAATTTGTATCCACATACAAAAATATCTTAAACAAGAATAGAAACATATATACAGTATTATAAAAATAACCTTAAATTTGTATCAATATACAAAAATCCACATAAATGTTAATATTTGAGACTAGTAGTTGCTGTTTTAGTTTAAAAGTAGATTTAATAATCTACTCTTTTATCCTATCATTTTTATATCCCCACTTTTTTATCTTTTTAGAAAAAGGTCCCTAAATCTAACCTCCTTTGTTTAGTTTCCTACCTGACCATGACCAATAATAACTTGCTACCCACCCCTCTAAACAATGACAAATATCCATAACCTATTGAATGACCAAAAACCACCTACTCTACATCTTGGGAATATGGGTGTCATGTTTTCTAGACTGCTTCCTGTTGTCTGGGGGTGATGGCATTTCTAGGGGACCCTGAGAAAATTGGGATAATGGTTAAGTCCTGGGAGATCTAACTGTATTTTTTGTTTAGTCTCTGTGGGATGAGAAAGTGTAGAGCTTATCTGAAGTCTTGGCTGGAGTAGTCTGTGAGGCTGGACCACCTCAGCTAGCAGCTTTGAAGTTGTTCTGGATGTAGAATTTTGAGGAAACTGCAACAGAGGCATTCTGAGAAGCTGGATCATCTGGGCTATTTGTTTTTATTGGTGTCTGGTCTTTTTTTTTTTCTGGAAAACACACAAACTTTTAAAGGCAACATATATATCTGCATTAACAGAAGTTTGGAATATGCTGTGTGTACAAGTCAGCTAAAGATGATTTTTTATTGTTCTAATTTTAAGTAGCTAAAAGGCATCTATCAACTTTATAAGTCTGTTTGGACTGCATATCCAAATTGTAATATAGTAAGTCATGAGGACTCTAACAAACAAGATTTATCATGTTTCATCCAATCTTAGAGCTATTCCCATGCAGAGGGATCGGCACACATATCACCTGTCCTGTTGTCTTTCCTGACTTCCTCCCTCACGTCTGTAGCCAAGATCCTCAGGAGGTCTCCCCTGGTCAAATCTGATCTCTGTTAACTTTAAAGGAATCCATGGCTTTTCGTTTCCTGTGGAAACAAAAGCACAACCTCTCCCCCAATACAACACATTGCCCGACTTCCATTTTGAAGCCAAGACACCCCTAAAGTATCTCGGCTGGTTTAATTTAGCAGTCCCTTCAACAATCCAATGTCTCTCTCAGCAGCTGCCATTCACTCATCAGCATTCAAAAAATTCAAAGTCAGCAAAGTAACATGCAGGATCCAGGTGCCCTATGTATTTTTCATCCTTACGTAGCTTATTTTATTTCTTTATATTACTTTACTCTCTATTATTTTAAAACTTTTTTATGACTATCTATATCCATTTTTCTTTCTTTAGCATCTAATCACGTTTTTAAGCATGCTGTACCATTTTAGAGTTTTTTTTCTGTCTGGACCTTGCTTTACTGTGTGCCTGAAGCCTTCTCTGACCATGTGAGCCAAGCCTTAAAAGGCTGGTCCATCCACTGCATGGCTCTGTGCTGGCGGCTGGCTCAAGCCCGCAGGCAGCAGTCGGTAGCCATGCCTCTGTATGCTGAGCACTGGCCCGTCTGGCTCCTTGTCCAGAAGAACTTTCCTTAGCTTTCTCAGGCCCTGTGTTTGGATATTCAAGGCCTTGCATTGGGCACCATATGAGGTTGGACTTTCATTCTGCCACCAGTCCCAAATAACAACATAGAGACTCATTATGTTATAAAAGCTTTGCCTTAACTTAGGCTTGTTCCTAACTAGCTCTTATAACTTAAATAATCCATTTTTAAAAAGATTAAATTTTTTTTTTTTTTTGGTTTTTCGAGACAGGGTTTCTCTGTGTAGCTTTGCGCCTTTCCTGGTACTCGCTTTGGAGACCAGGCTGGCCTCGAACTCACAGAGATCCGCCTGCCTCTGCCTCCCGAGTGCTGGGATTAAAGGCGTGCGCCACCACCGCCCGGCCAAGATTAAATTTTTAATTTATGTTCTTCCATGAGACTCATCTTTGTATTGTCCATCCTGCTTCCACCATGTCTGGCTGTTGACTCTGCCTTTCTTTTTCCCAGAGTTCTCTCTCTGTCTAGAAGTCCTACCTATACTCTCCTGCCTAGCTATTAGCCATTCAGCTTTTTATCACACCAATCATAGCAATACATCTCACATAGTATATAAATATCTCACAACATTCTGTTGTATCATCTTTAGGTACTATTAAAACATTCTGGCCATAAGAACATTTTGTTCCCTAACTCAACTTGAAGACTATAGACACATCTAGAAGTTCATCATGTTTTTGCCTAGTGATATGTCTGGCTCAGAAGACAGTGTCTCTGTTTATATTTATAATAAGAGATGCAGTAAAGGATAAAAATGACTCCAAGCTCATTAGCGCTTTCACATTCCCTAGGCCAGCTGAGCTGGACTTGAATATGTCTCTGCTGCTATATGACCTAGAAAGTGTGGATGTGAGAGGTTGGGGCTGCCCAGAACTGGGGTGTGGAGGGGAGTTATGCTCATCAGAGGCTTCTTGAGAGTGTGCCAGCCCATGTAACTGGCCACATGCCAATGCCAGAAACCCAGTCCAAACCAGCCCCTTATAGTTTTATTGGTCTTAAAAACACAACTAATAATATTTAAATAATTTTGCTAGAGTATTTTAAATATTTGTATCTAAATTTTGCATATTTTCCTAAGTATTTCCTTTATGAGAAAATTACTTTCCTAAATTCAGTTATTTTTCCGAGTGTTCTCAGCTCTATTCCCAGGATAAGTCTTCTGCATACATTGCAGTTTCTAAAGGGAATAAAGACCTTGAATTTAACACAGTTCCCTCATGGCCCTTAGTCCTTAACCTAAGGCCTCTAAGCTTTGATGTATTTACTTTTAAAACTCTGAGGGGACCCACAAGAGTGGGAGAGGGACAGGAAAGGGTAAATGAGACAGAATATAGGCAGAAACATTGTATTATGTGAAAAGGAAAAGAAGCAAGTAACCCAGATGAGCTTGGAGATGTCATAAACTAGAGGAAAGGACTTGTTCTCACCACCAACAGATATTAACTGATTCTGCATGGAATGAGAAAACACGCACACACGCGCACACACACGGCACCCCATAAATAGGCATTTGTGTGCATCAACACAATTTTTGGAGAGAAGCTCAACAAAGCTTTTCAATGTCAAGAAAGAAAGAAACCCTGTATTCCTGGCATTTAGTAACCATTCGGTATTTTGTCATTGATTGCTGCTCTTTATTTTATTTTATTTTTTATTTTTTTGGTTTTTCGAGACAGGGTTTCTCTGTGTAGCTTTGCGCCTTTCATGGAACTCACTCGGTAGCCCAAGCGGGCCTCGAACTCACAGAGATCCGCCTGCCTCTGCCTCCCGAGTGCTGGGATTAAAGGCGTGCGCTACCACCGCCCGGCGCTGCTCTTTTATTCTCACATGTCTTCAGACAAGTTCCATAGAGTCTGGGAGGATTCCTCGCAGTGCTTTGCTTACCTTTGAACCAGGCGCAGACTTGATGTAACTCAAGGTGCTGCATGTATGGGAAGAAATGTTAGGTCATAAGAGGAATCCTAAAAAACAGAGCACATAAATATAAGATGCAGTGCTGGGTGGTGGCACGCACCTTTAATCCCAGCACTCAGGAGGCAGAGGCAGGCTGACCTCTGAGTTCCAGGACAGCCAGGGCTACAAAGAGAAACCCTGTCTCAAAAAATAAAAGAAAACAAAAAGAAAAAAAGATGCAGAAAGGGTAATTGTAAGTGTAGATGTCTAAGTGGCATTAATTAATTGAAAAATATAACATTTTGTGTTAGGTTTCTGTTGCTGTGAGTTAGAGCTACCTGAGAGAGGGGGAAAGGTTATTTGGGGGCTGAGGAGGTTACTCAGTGGGTAAGAACGCTTCCTGTACAACCGTGGACCTGAGTTCAGGTCCACAGAACCCATGTAAAAACCCAGGTAGAACGGCATTACCCAGTGACCTCTCTGCATGTGGTCTCTCTCTCTCTCTTACACACACACACACACACACACACACCAGAACACGTGACTGAAAACGGAGGTGGAAGAAGTACACACTTACAATCACAGACAGGCTTTGAGTTTTCACAGATTGTAGGTTTCCATGATCCCTAGTTGCTGGCCCATTGGCAAGCCTATGGTAAGGCAGATCATTCCGGGGAAGGGAACCTAATGGAACAAAGATAATTACTTCATGGCGGTTGGGACATGAGAAGGGAGGCAGAAAGGAGCCAGGGACATGGTACATCTTTCCAAGACATACTTCCTGTGACCTACTTCCTCCAGTTAGGCCCCACCTACTAAGTTTCCATCACCTCCCAAACAATGCCACCAACTTAGGACCAAGTCTTTAACACAGGAGCCTGTGAGGCATTTCATATCCAAACATGACACATCCATTTTTTTCTAGTTAAAAGAACAGTGTATGCTCATTGGAGAAAAATTTAAGCATTTATTGAAGGAGCTTCTGCTTATGAAAGTAATACTTGCTTATTGGAACTTAAAACCCATGAAGCACTCACAGATGAGAAGGTACGGGGTCTCTCTGAGGTTCTGAATAGTAATAGCAGGGTTATGAGGCAGTAAAATACTGGGACAGCAGCTGAGAGTCAACATCAGTCTGTCCCCACACAGGGAGTCTGTCATCTCTTGTTCCTCTCCAGATAAACCAGCTGACTCAAGACTGGACTCAGAAGTGGAATGACTGGCAGTCACTCATGGAGCATTACCGTGTGGACATCCACAGGAGGAGGGCTGGGGTGGTCATCGACTCCAGCCTGCCACACCTGATGGCTTTGGAAGATGATGTGCTCAGCACAGGTGTTGTGCTTTATCACCTCAAGGTGAGGAAGCTGGTACATCTCCTCCCTTCCCGGTGCTGGCCCCAGAAGTGAAGGAAGGAAAACTGAGGTCGCAGCCATGTTCTTAGGGATCCAGGCCAAAGCCTCAGAGCTGCCTTGGGCTTTGTGCTCAGGAATCTGATCCAGCACAAGGTGGAGTTTGTTTGGATTTTGTGTAAATGGCTGTAGGAAGCTGGATATCAGAATGATTATTTGTTTTCAACTGCTACTGATGCTTTTCTGTAACTCACTTCTTGTTTCTGGGCCTTAGTTTCTCCATGTTAAGGTGAGGATGGAACCTCTTACATTGCTTTTCTGACTTCTTGAAGCACAGGAGTGTAGTCAGGAGAGCACAGTCCTAGCCTCAAAAATACAATCAGAAAGCTGAGAAGAGTACCGCATGCCTGCAGTCCCCACTGCTCAGGGAGGTGACGCAGGAGACTCCTGGAGCTCAGGAGTTTGAGGCCAGTTTGTTTCTGAAGAAGATACTGTCAGAACTTCTAGACTACAAATACAGACTGCTAACACCTGGGTGAATTCAAGAGACTAGAAAGCTTTCTTCTCGCTCTTTCTTTCATTCAACCTGTGTAGCAACAAGAATAAATGCCTCCCCTCCACCCTCCCCCATCTCCATCACAGAACTTCCTAGAGAAGAGGGAGAAAGATAGAGGAAGCTGAACATAAGGGGGAGGGTCTAAGGAACTGATGGTAAGGGATGATGATAAACATTCATCTAGAAAAAGTCAAATAAAAGTCTAGGCTCTCCAAATAAGAGCCCTGGCCATCATTTCTAAATGAGTAGTTTGAAGAGTTGACAATATGCCTGTCCCCTTCAGAAATGATTTCCTGTTTGAAGACAGGCCTGTGGATGGCAGAACACATTTCATATGGCCATCGTCCCTGTGCTCACTGAAGATCCGATTTTGTTCTTATAAATGTCTACCGAAGACACTCTAAAAGAACAAATAAAAGTAGAGGCTATGTGCTGCTGCTGCCATCTCTGGAGAAACCAGGCTCCTCATCTGTGGGACCTTAGAAGAGATGGTAGCCAAGCTCCTCCGTGTTCTTGGGACAAGCCCTTTGAGCATCTCAAGTGGGAAGCTCAAATAACCTATTTTTCTGGTATGCTTTGCATTTTGCATACATTGTATTGTCTCAGTTAAATGCTTCAGGCAGAAGTGCTTGCCTACTTTTACCTTAACATATCTAAGTACCAGAAACTATTTAGATCTTTCCATCATTCAGAGCCATAGGGAGAGATCAGGGATCAGGGGAGACCAGATCTGTTAAAATGTCACCATTTGAGTGGAACTTTTCTGAATCATGGATGGAATCTGGAGTGAGGAGAGGAAGTAAGATGTTAGGTGGGAAAGCGTGGGGTGGCAGCAGAGGGTTAAGAGCCATGGTTACGTTAGAACCTTAGGCCTGGAGGCAGTGGTGACTCCCTCTGAACCTAGGGCTGTTAATTCTCATTTGGTCAGTGAATTCAGAGTCTCCCTCCCTGCTCCTTGGTGCATCAGTGGACCAGTGAAGCGGCATTTTAGTTCATTTCTAGCTCTGTTGTTTCTGCACTTTGTGGACCCATATTCTTTTTTGTTCTTGTTTTGTGTTTTTTATTTTATGGATGTTTTTCCTGCATGTATGTCTGTGTATCATGTGTATGCCTGGTGCTCACAGAGGCCAATGTGGGGACATTGGATCACCTGGTACAGGAGTAACAGACAGTTGTGAACCACCACGTGGGTGCTGAGAATTGAACCTAGGTCCTCTGGAAAAACAGCAGCCAGTGCTCTTAATCAATGAGCCATCTCTCCAGCCTCATCCCCATATTATTTTTATGGTTTGTTTTGATTGTGGCTTAAATAAGTATATAATAGTAGTGACCCAAGATTCTTTGCATTTTTATTTAGTTGCTCACTTGGTCATAGACCTGAAACTAGTCTTTTGGTAATACACCAGGAACAGTTTTCTCTTGGGCCACCTTGGCAAGCTCCTTGGTGGGACAGGAAGAGTGGATAGAGCAGAGATGGCTGGCACCTTGTAATGCCTTCTAATTACCTCTGTGTCACTAACTGCCTGTAGAAAGAAGCAGAAGGACAGCAAACACGGGGGCCGCCTAAGTGCTTGTTATCTGAGAGCTCGCTCGTCACCTTTTTGTCATAGTTTCGTGATATTCTGTGGCCCTTATCCTTTTAGGAGGAATGTACTCCAACATCAAGAGTCCCTGAACTAATATGAAGAGTTATAACCTATTTGTATTAGTCAGGGTTCTTTAGAGAAATAGAACTGATAAAAATGGGTGTGTAGAGGGGCATTTATTAGAATGGCTTACAGGTAGTGGTCCAGCTAGTCCAATAGTGACAGTCTCCCAACAGAAAAGCCAAGAATCCAGTAGTTGTTCAGTCCACAAAGACTCATCTGGTCTTAAGTCTCCATTGGAGTGCCTTAGCAGCAGAGTAGATGAACTTGCCAGCAAGAGTGAGGACAATCTAGCAAAAAGCCAAAGAGCTTTTTTCCATGTCCCTTTCTTTGTGCTGACACCAGAGGGTGTGGCCTAGATTTAGAGTGTGTTTTTGTTACTCTTCCATTGCTCTGAAGAGACACCATCACCAACGCAACTTATAAAAAGAAGGCATTTAATTGGGGGCTTCCTTACAGTTTCAAAGGGTTAATCCACAACCATCATGGCAGGGAGCATGGCGGCAGGCAGGCAGGCAGGGCACTGGGGTAGTAGCTGAGAGCTCACATCTGATCTAAAGGTTGCAAAGCTGAGAGAGAGAAAGACTGGGCCTGGTGTGGGCTTTTGAAACCTCAAAACCCAGTGACACACCTCCTCTGACAAGGCCATACTTCTTTTTTTTTTTTTTTTAATTTAATTTTTATTTTTTTTATTTTGCAATACAATTCAAGGCCATACTTCTTAATCTTTCCCTAACAGTTCCACTAACTGGGGACCCAGCATTCATGACATAATAATGTGAGGACCATTCTCATCCAAACCCCCGCAGGGTGGGGCTTCTCATCTCAGAGAAGGATTTCCTTGATTGGATCCTAAAACCCTGCCCGTTTTTTTTTTTTTTTTTTTTTTTTTTTTGGTTTTTCGAGACAGGGTTTCTCTGTGTAGCTTTGCGCCTTTCCTGGAACTCACTTTGTAGACCAGGCTAGCCCCGAACTCACAGAGATCTGCCTGCCTCTGCCTCCCAGTGCTGGGATTAAAGGCGTGCGCCACCACCGCCCGGCCCCTGCCGGGGTTTTGATTGTTTCCAGATGTAGTCAAGTTGCTAACCAAGATCAGCCATCACACTCCTCCCTTGGCAGTGTTGGTAGAGGTTGGCAACCACTGACTTGTATTCAGGGAGGGAAGATAGAAGGCAAAGGGCAAACCAGAGCTTCATTGCTCCCAGGATTCCTCTCACATGCTGTTTTGGGAAACTTACAAGGTCTCCTTGTTCTTGCTGCTGAAAGTGTGGCCTAGTGGTGATTTTAGTCACTCCCATGGGGCGGGGTTATGGTGAGGCTGAAAAAACCTGGGCTGGGGATTCAGAGACTGGAATTGTAGCCACAGCTTTCCTACTTAGCAAATGGGTGTTTATGGTGATATTTTATTTGTACTAAAATGTTATTTGTATGTTAATAAATAAAATTGCCCGGGGTCAGAGCTATTAGCAAGCCATAGGAAAGCAGGGCAGTGGTGGCGTACGCTTGTAATCCCAGCACTTGGTAGGCAGAGCTAGGTAAGTCTCTGTGTGTTCAGGGATACAGTCAGTATTGGATACACATGCCTTTAATCTCAATACCAATCATAGAAAACCTGGAGGCCTTTACAGACAGGCCGTGACGAGGCGGTCATGTGGTTGGGTTTACAACCAATGAGAAGGCAGAACAGAAACTATATATAAAGACTTTAACACAGAAAGTAGCTCTGGTTCGGAGAGGTAGGACCACCGCAGGAGGAAGGGTAAGGTTTTAGCTCTTAGCTCTGACCTCTTGGCTTTCTTCTTTGCATTGGTTCTGTGTTTCTTATTTAAAAAGACGGTTGGTTACATCTACAGGTGTTGTAGACAATTTACTCCCTATGAGCTTCAGATTTCTGGCCTATAAGTATACAGTAAGCTGGGCAGTGGTGGCACACACCTTTAATTCCAGCACTCAGGGGATAGAGGCAGGCGGCTCTCTGTGAGTTTGAGGCCAGCCTGGTCTACAGAGTGAGTTCCAGGACAGCCAGGGCTACTACAGAGAAACCCTGTTTCAGAAGAAAAAAAAAAAACAAAAAACAAAACCAAAACTAACAAACAAAAAGATGTCTGCAAAACGTTCAGCATAATACCTGGGACATAGCAAATGTTACTTAAGAAATGGTGAAGATAGGCCTTCAAGTTAGTGTGTCTTTGCCTCCTAATAGAGTATATGGTCTATAGTGGATTTGTCGTAATCCAGGGGCCCAAAGGCCCTAGTCTCTACTAATTCAGTGGTTTGCTTGTGTTAACACCTGTTGCCTGTGCTCTCTTCTCCTCTCTTCCAGTTCCTCCCCCCTATTTGTGCTTTACCCTTCATAGAATTTGGCGTCTGTCATGCTTCCTCTGCAGAGCAAGAAGGTAACAGTCCATAAATGTTTATAAAAGGTCTCGGAGTCTCCTGGATCAAACACAGGCCACACTCACCTTCGCTGCTTTGAGAATGAAGTCTATGTCTGCCCCCTCCCTTTTACTGGAGAATTTCGGACCTGCAGCTCTATCTAGTCCCTGACTTCAGAGATTGTCAGCACTTGTTGGGCTTTGCAAACAGTCAGTGCTGTGTATCACTGCCAGTGTTACTGTTTGCCCCTGTCCTCCTGGACTGCAGAGTGAGTGGATGGCAGGCCAGGCCAGCCAGACTGGAGTTGGGAAATGGTTCTAAAAATGCTGAGCTGGCACGGGAAGGCACTGATTACACACAAATGTGGACTGTGCTTTGCGGCAGGGCTATATCTCTTTTTATGCTTATTGAAATGTCTTATTTCCTTCCTCCCCACAGGAGGGGACAACAAAAATAGGGAGGATTGATTCAGACCAGGAGCAGGACATCGGTAGGTAGTCTGACACACAGGTAGCTATTGGTGCCCGAAAGATTTACTAAAGGAAGCTGATGGTCTTGGAGAGAAAAGGAATCTCTGAAGGGTTAAGGGTCTGCTTCTCTTTCTGCTGCCAGCTTTTGGGTCTGGAAGTTGGAAGGAGGAGGCTTATTCAGGGGGAGACTTTCAGTTCTGGGTGGTTTCAGGTGGTGGGTGTTCCTTTCTTGTTGTGATGGGAAGTATTCCAACTGTTGGGTTGGATCTTGTCAAAACTGGAAGAGGCATTCTCTTGAATGGTTTCCCCACTCTGGTTATCTCCTCCTCACCTCCTTAGTCCTTCAGGGCCAGTGGATTGAGAGGGACCACTGCACAATCACTAGCACTTGTGGAGTGGTCATTCTGCGGCCTACCCAAGGGGCACGCTGTACAGTGAATGGCCGAGAGGTCACTGCTTCCTGCCGTCTGACACAAGGTAGGACTATCTACCTCCCTGTGTTTATCTGGATGAATGATGGACAGCTTCAATCTGATGGGTCCAAAGAGCTCAATGAAGCAAGCTTCAATCATGTGTTACTCAGCCTCTACACCCAGAGACCTGAAGATTTCCTAATATGATCCTTCCCCTTCTAGGACCCAAGAGTAGAGAATGACTTGGAAATTTGTACTTGGTGATCTGAACCTCAGTTTCTTCATCTGTGATAATGGGAGCATAGGGCAGGATTGGATGATACCTGCTTTTTTTTTTGAAGTTCTTGGTAGTGTGCTGTAAAGACTTGGTGTCAGTATGCCTCTAGTACTAATCTCTTCAGATCCCATCCTCTGAAGCTGAACTCAGTCTGCCTCTTCCTGAAGTTTCTCTGACTACGTGCCCTGGAACTTGTCTTGCTGTTTATTTGAGTATAATTGAGAGATGTATAATTAATGCGTATCAACTTAGCAAAATTATCAACTTGTTGTAGGCATTGGCTTATCTCCCAGTATGTACTCGGAGCACAGTCATGGACTGAACTCATTTGTCTGTGTCAAAGGAGCTGTCCTAACACTGGGGAAGGCACAGAAGTTCCGATTTAACCACCCAGCCGAGGCTGCTTTGCTACGGCACCACAGGCCTAAGGTAAGCCTGGCTTCGACTTCCCAGTGGCTGTTAGGGAAGCTTCCACACCGCTCCATTGGGCTCACTGCTTTTTCCTTATCCCAGGCCGGAGAGGCCGTTGGCAGCAGTGGCTCTTTGGAATGGCTGGACTTGGATGGAGATGTCACTGCCTCAAGACTGGGTCTCTGTCCTGTGCTTTGGAAGGAAAGGTGAGAATCTGCTGCTTGTACCAGTGGAGTCTCCTGGGTTTGCTTCTCAGTCCATAGTTGGCAGCTGGCAGGGAGGTAGCCATGGCCCTCATTTGCTTCCTGCTTGGAATTTCATCTCTCTTCTCTGACAAGACTTAACTGGGAAGTGTTAGCAGACATCTCTGGTACTGCTTCTAAACCTCACTTCCCCACAGTTCTCTTTAAATCCTGATGTGTGAGCTCATACCATATATATCTGTTAGCTTCCTCTGATTCTGAAAAATGAATCTCTTCTTTATGGTTTCTCTCATAACCAACAATGCAGAGCTATGCACCTGAGGGAACAGGACCTATGAGAACAGTAAAAACATCTTGAGATTCTGCCCTTGCTCCTGCTTCACCTGCTCTGTGATAAACTGTGTTATCCTTCATTATCCTTTCTATACAGAATCCTGTTCTCGGCTTGGGTACCTGCTGGGTTTGCCCCTGGAAGCTCTTTGGTTCCTTTCAGCAAGACTGACCTGTGCCTTAATGTCTAACTGTAGGAAAGTTCAGCAGGGGACTTACTAGCAAGACCACCAAGTGCCTCCAGCACAGGCTTCACGGCAGGTTCTTGTGGTCCTTGGCTCTCTTTCTTGAACAGGAACATTTGATGGCAGATGAAGAGAGTCTTGGGTCTGTCACTGACAAGGGAAGGGGTGAGCAGCAATGCACCCTCACAGAGCTGCTCACAGGTTGAATTTAAGGGAGTGGGGTCCTAGGGACAAGGTCTAGGGTCCTGGGCAGTGAAGGGCAAGTTGGAAAAGCTGACACGGGTATCCAGGCCAGGAATTCGGGACTAAGGCTGACGTTCTTGTTTTCTCGGAGAGGACGTTCTGTTTTGTAGGGAAGCTATGAAGGAGACTTTGTTTTGGGTAAGGTTTCTGTTAGAAAGACAGATCGAAGACCTGGTTTTTCTCAGAGTGCAGTATATTGGGAATAACACTGCCACTTAAAGAGCTGTGGATAGAGAAAAGGTGTATCGGAATAGGGTAAACAAATTCACATCTGACCTACCACATAAAAGCTGTGTGATCTCAGGCAAGTCACTTACTCTCTGAGCCTGCTTCCTACCTCTAAAGTAAGAGTGTTGCTATCCCCTCCCCAGGGATCCTGTGATAAGTCCTAAAGGAGTTGAACGGGCATAATACCCACATGCCTGTGGCCCCAGTGTGAGGCTCTAGGGGAAGCTGCTTTCCTGTCTTCCTTGTCCTCTCGTCTTAGGCAGCTCACCGTCCTCCCCAGAGTACTCGGTAGTCTCCTCCTACCTTTTCAATGTCTTTAGGATCCTCAGCTTCATGAGCTCTGACATGACCTTTCATCAACACTAAGAAGGTACTCTTTTATCCGGAGGACAGTGAAGGGCTTCAGAATCAAGGCCTCTCCTATGGACTGCCCCTACCATTCAGTACCAGTGAGGGGCCTATAGGCTGGCTGGGCCTATCTATCTCCTGCAGTCAGCCTCTGGTGCCAGCCCTTGGTCAGGTGGTATGGTGCTCAAGCTAGTGACTGGGCAAAGGGGCCAGGGAGTGGAACTGACAGGGGAAAATACATGATCCAGTCTGGATTTCCTTCTGCTCTACCGGAGCTTGGCTCCAGGGCTGCCCTCGTCCTAGGCTGCTGTCCCTTGTCTCTCTCTGGAGGAGCATTTCAGAGGGCCAGAGCTTTTTCTAAGATAGAGGACATTGGCCATTTTCTTCTTGTAGTAGTGATCTGGACCAACTGTGGCCTGTGTTCTTTGCATTTCTCATTTGGAGTTGGGGAGTGGGGGGCTTTACCTTTAAATGTCTAGAACCCAGAAGAAGCTCTCACTGCTGCAGACTCTGTGAGGCCCTGAGGTAGCAGAGGTAGAGTGCCAGAGAGAGTAGAGGGTAGAGCAGTCCTGGCAAGTAGGTGATGACCAGGCAGTATCTAGGGGATGTTGGAGCTATCTAAGATGAAAGGCAGCCATCGTTAGATATAGGTCCTTGGCTGCCTGGTAATGAGAACTTGATTTTGGTACCGCATCCAAGCATGTAGCGTAGTTATTTTCTTTTTCACCTACCCAGGGAACTTGAGAAATGTGCTCAACAGAGGCATCCTTTCCGGCTGAGGCTGTGGCAGCTTGGGTAAACACACTGTGTCATCCTGGACAGTCTCCCTTGCAACCCCAGCTGAGCTGGGCAGCTGCTGCTCCCTAGAAGGAATGAGAGGCTCTCCTATGACAATGCAAGTTGTAAATCTGAGAGCCGGGGAAGCACCCAGTGAAGGACACGGAGTAACCCGGGGGAGTCAGAACATGTGGACCCCACTCTGCCTCTTGGATCTGGCGTTCTATGGGTTTTAGCTGGGCTTGTCAAGGCCTCACTGATAGGTTTATATTTACAATTCAGCCATTACTGTGGCTCAAGTTTGAAGTGGTAATACAAGCACCACATAGGTAAATATATGTACAAAATGTTTTGGGTTAACAGTATTTCTTCTCAATGTTTCTGAAATTTTTTCTGTATTTCCTGGAGGAATTTTAGTAGAAACCCTAATTCTTTCATTTTTAAAGGCCAGAGCTCTTCTGTATGTATATACATGCATGTACACATGTTTGGTATATGTAGGACTAAAGTTGACATCAGTGTTTCTCAGTGGCTCCACTCTATTTATTGAGGCAGGGTCCCTCACTGACCCCAGAGCTTGCCAATTCTAGACTAGCCAACTTGCCCTGGAGATCCTCTGCCTTCCAGGGGCTGGGATTCCAGGTAGCTACTCTTGGGATCCAAACCCTGGTCCTCATATTCACATGACAAATGCTTTATCCACTGAGCCATCTCCCCAGTCTAGACAGAGCTGCTTAATTTAGCTAAGCATTATTTTTTATTTTTTATTTTACTTATTTATTTTTGAGACAGGAAAACTAACCTCAAACTCATAATCCTCCTGCCTCTGCCACCAGAATATTAGAATTAAAGGCATGTGCCACCACACTCAGCTTTTTGTACCTTTTATAAGCATTTCAGCTCACATGGAAAAGGATCCTCTCAGTTGGGAGCCAAGGAGTACCACAAAGTCCCGAAAGGAAAAGCACTGCTCCAGGGGATGGTTTCCCCAGTGTAACACCTCTGTTCTGGCTGGGGAGGGTTTCCCCAGCAAAGGTGTTACAGCTCTGCCCAGGTCCCCCAGAGTGTAACACCTCTGCTCCAGCAGGGGAGGGTTTCCCCAGCAAAGGTGTTACAGCTCTGCCCAGGTCCCCCAGAGTGTAACACCTCTGCTCCAGCAGGGGAGGGTTTCCCCAGCAAAGGTGTTACAGTTCTGCTCCCGCAAAAGATGTTACTTCTCTGCTCTGCTAGATTCCAGGGAAAGAAGGTCTCACCCAAACCTCATTCAAGAGATTTATTGAGGGCTGGAGAGATGGCTCAGAGGTTAAGAGCACTGACTCCTCTTCCATAGATCCTGAGTTCAATTCCCAGCAACCTCATGGTGGCTCACAACCATCTGTAATGAGATCTGGTGCCCTCTTCTGGCCTGCAGGCATACATGCAGGCAGAACACTGTATATACAATAAATAAATTAATTTTTAAAAAAAGAAAAGAGAGATTTATTGGGAGGGAGGAATCTAGGAGGGTGGCTGCCTCTGCCAGAGTGGAAAAAGGAAGCAGCAAACTGAACAGGCACAGGGCTTATACAGGATCTCTTAGGGGCAGAGTTTGTCCAGGGTGAAGATTGTTCAGGGTAGGAGTTCCCTGAGCTTGGACAAGCTTGGGTTGGCTGGATTTTGTGCTCGGGATTGGTTGATTTTCCTGCACAGGGATTAGTTGGTTTCTGTGCTGAGTTGGTCGGGGGCAGAGCATGTTTCTTTGACTCTGGTTTCAGGGCTAAAGTATGTTTCTTTCCCTGGCCCTATTTAACCTTTTGGCTCTAGTTTCAGGGCCAGGGTGTGTCTTTCACTGGCTTTGGTTTCAGGGCCAAAGTATGTTTCTTTGGCTGGCCCTTTTACCCTACACCTTTAATATTTGTTTTATGATTTCCTTATGAGCCAGATGGTGGTGGCACTTGCCTTTAATCCCCGTACTCAGGAGGGAGAGGCAGGTGGAGTTCTGTGAGTTCAAGGCCAGCCTGTTCTACATAGTAGGTTCCCAGACAGCCAGGGCTACATAGATAGACCCTGTCTCAAAAACAAAACAAAACAAAAAAGTCAACAACAAAAATCATCTGTTTTACTCTCATGATTTCCTTATGAAAGGGAATTTAGGTTTCTGCTAAGCCCACAATTCTAAGAATATGGTAGTCTGATGGATTCCTGTTCTCTGCTCCTGTGCTATGACTTCATAAGCTGCCTGTGACAACACACCTATTTGTCCCATCTTGTTAGCTGTCTGAAGCCCTTCCTACCCTGTTGAATTCAGGAGTACTCTCAGAGGGACTTAAGTCTCCCACCGATTTGTCCTGAGTTTGGTTTGCTTGGGTAACCCTGGACCTTTTGTCATAGGAAGGTGCTAGAAGAGGAGTGTGACAAGGACCAGCAGACATCAAGAAGTGGCGAAATATCCCACAGAGCCCAGACCGAGCAACAGCAGTGCTACGTGGAGGGTCTGAGGCAGCAAGCCATAGAAGGACAGAGTAGAGTTCAGAAGGAGCCAGAATTGGACCAGACACAGAGCAGTCAGCAGCTAAGAGCCAGTAGGTGCCTTTGTCTGAGGTGCCCGCATCGCCCGCCTTCAATTCCGCGCTGCCGACCTTCTGTGTTCTGGCCTCTGTTGTCTCTGGGATAGGATGGAACCTTTTGTACTGGGTGTTCTCTCTCTTTTAGAGACCAGAAGCTCATACAAGGGGGCTGGAAATAAGCCAGTGGACTTCTCTATGGCCCCTCAGAATGATCCACCTTCTGCTGACACCCTGCAGTGGCACCCTTGTCTGGGCGTCTCCACCCGCCCCACTTGTCCACTGTTCTGTTGAGGCCTACGTGTCTTCCTCTCCCTCCCCTGCAGCAGGGAGGCCCTTTGGCGCTCACTTGCCACGTCACTCTATCCAACCCTTTTCACTCCTCACAACTCTGGCCATGGCTGGAGATATATCTGAGTCCAGGCAGCTATAGACAGAAATTGCTGACCTTCTCTCTGGGTATTTTTGGTTCTCAGACCAGCAGTGGCTTCTCAGAGAAGAGACCTGGCTAGCCTGCTTACAGGAGACACAGCAAGAAGACGGCAGTGGGGAAGAGAAAGAACTTGAGGCCCTTGTGGCACCTGATGCTTGGCTTCCGACAGTTCCTCAGACCCCACCATCCCCACTGGTCCAAAGCCAGAAGAGGGTGGTGCAGCTGCGGCGCTTGCGGAGACGCACTTCTTGGGCTACAGTGTGGAACATCAGGCAGAAAAAGATCTCATTCCAGCTGGAGAGAATTATTAAGAAGCAGAGGCTGCTGGAGACCCAGAGGAGACTGGAGCAGCTCAGGGCACTCTTTGGGCTCCAGGATGATGGTGCCTCCAAGGCCCCAAGGTGGGTCTCCAGCTCTAACACCTCAGGCCCAGGTTCTGAGCATAGAAGCAGATGGACAACTTGCAGCTCTCTGAGCCTCCAAAGGCTATGCAGCCAGCGCCTGTCCCAGCTACGCAGGTACCAGTGATGTGCACCAGGAGCAGTGGCTGGTGTTACCCAGCTGCCCAGGAAGTGTTCTTTACTCCCAGGGCTTCTTCATCTTTGAGGCGGAGAGGTGTTTTTTCCTCTGTCTACACATGTCTACACGTCTTTACACAATCAGGTTGCTTCGTATTCTTGCTGAGCCGCTCTAGCTCCTAGCTCATTTCATGAGTATTTAGACCTGGATTGTCTAGATGTGGTCTCCTTTATGTCCTGACCCCACAGGCCTCCTGATCCCACAGGCCTCCTGATCCCACAGGCCTCCTGATCCCACAGGCCTCCTGACCCCACAGGCCTCCTGACCCCACAGGCCTCCTGACCCCACAGGCCTCCTGCCTCCACAGGCCTCCTGATCCCACAGGCCTCCTGATCGCACAGGCCTCCTGACCCCACAGGCCTCCTGACCCCACAGGCTGCCTCCCCCCTGACCTGACACAGGACTCCCAGGTTCAGTTTGGATCTCCCTCCTCTGCTCTTCATGCCCTTTCTGTTGTCACAGGGTGGGAGCTTGTTATCTCCCAGATTACTTGGAGTGGAGGCCCATGTCCTGTTCTATGTATCCTTGGCCTTGCTCAGAAGAATCACACAATGTCTGTTGCTGTAACACTTGCTCACCTCTCTGTTCTTTAAATAACTGTGCAGAAAACGTGACTTTTTATTATGGAAAAACTTTAAACATGCAAAAAGTTGAGAGACTTACGTAGCACCTAGTTTCAGCAATTATAAAGACATACCAATTCACTTCTAGTCCTACCATTCTATCCTCCAAAGGATTTAAAGCAACAGAATGTCATTTTAACACCATTTCTTCAAATATGTACCTCTAAAAATATATTGTCATACCTACTAAATCATATCCGTGAAGATCAAGGTTGATAGCTTAATAGAATCTGAAACTGGTCACCTTCGGTTTTCCCAAGTTGTGTCAAGTGCGTCTTGGTTTTTCAAATCAAGATCTAATTTATGTACTGCCTGCCACTCTTAAGTCTTTGAAGTTCCTGTAGTCATCCTTTCCTATTTCTTGATATTAAGCGTGCAAAATGCGTCAGATCTGTAGATGGTACCACTTCATAGATTCATCTGCTTGAGTTGTTGTAGTATTAAAATTGTTTCTGCTTTCCTCACATAGCCAGTTGCTTGAAATATAATTCAGTTAAACTTTTTCCTAAGATAAAGCAGTTGAAGGCGGGGGTTGAGTAACAGTATGCATCTGAGACTTCTGAAAGTCAGGGCTCTGTTGTCAAGTCAGCTTTTGTATGTGTTGAGATGAGGCCTGTAGGGCACAGTGAGTGACATTGTCTTGCTTTCCACCCTCTTTCAAAGCCAACTAAATGGAATTTCATATTCCTTATATTGATAGGACGTAGGGGACATTACTTTTCTGAGATGGCTTTCCTTATCTTCACAGTGCTTTCCTGAACTGGGATCCTTCCACCATGTCACCACCTGTGCCCGACGCAACTCACCAAATACCAGAGAAAAGCCTATCAGCAGATTCCATTCCCCAGGCTACTGCTTCCCCTCCAAGGACAAGGTGCCTGGGCAGGAATGGCCTCCATCCATCAGGCTGGAGGAAGCTCTATCCAGCAAAGGGAGCCTCAGCCAGGAGGGGAGTCTCTACCCAAGGCACCTGTCTCACTGTGAGCCATGAGTCTGTCACTAGCCAGGAAACTAAGTCATTGGGTAAGCAGCCCTGTCAGATGTCCTCCCAGGGCTCAGTGACTAAGAAGCTAAGGCCAAGGGATGGTCCAAGGCCCCACACCCCTGCTGCACAGACCAGAAGGACTAAGGGACTAGCAACTTCTGGCAACACACAGACTGGGTGGCAAAGAGAAGGGAGCTGTGGGACCTCCAAGGCTCCTAAGGAAACCACTTCCCACTCTACTTACCACAGTGGATCCAAGCAAGCAGCTGGGCATGGGAAAGTTGGCAAGACTTTTCAGGCAGAATCCAAACCACCTCCTCTGAGCAGGGCATCAAAAAAACATCAGAGGGTGCCGGCAGCTAGGGCCAGAGACATTGCCAGAAAGTTCTCTCATTTGCCTCATGGCAGTCCTTTAAAAAGACAGCATAGTACAGGGGATCCAGACATGCTGGCCTCATTCACAGATTCCAGACCTATAATGGATCTTGTAAAAGAAAAGGACAAGGACTTATCTGACACTGATAGCAGTTACTCAGTGGATTCTCTCTCTTATGCCTGTGCCAAAGTCCCAAAGGAGCTGCTGAAGCCAGAGGACCTTCAGGGAAAATGGGATCTTCCAGATCCAGAGAACTCTGAAAGTGACAACAGTCAATTATCTGAGGATTCACTCGCTGAGAAAGGGTACCAAAGCCCCCCAGAAAACTCAGTGGATGAATATTCCACCATGAACCATGGACATTCAAGGACCAGAATTTCAGTCTCTGTGAGACATCTCCCCAAGCCCTCAGGCAGTAGCTTATGCACTCCAGCACATAGGAACTTTTCCTTGGACAGCCTGATTGATGCTGAAGAACTGGGAGAGGATAGGCAAAAGGAGCCTTTCCTTGGTTCTGCTGATGAGATGCCTACAGAGACGTTTTGGCACCTGCAGAAGGCCGTCCTACCTTCAGTAGACCAGGAGGCAATGTGCAGGTCTAGCCCTATCAACCATAAAACAGGAGTCAGGCAGAATGCCTTCCTGCCAAAGAGCAATTCATTTTACCTTGATCCTCAGTTCCAGCCCCACTGTGAACAGTCTGAGTTAGAAATGGAGGCAAGCTATTGCGAACAAGCCAACTCTCTCCAAGGCATGCAGCTTGCAAGAGAGAGCCCCCTGGTATCTGTGGATTCATGGTTTTCTTGTGACTCTAAGGTCAATCCCAGCAGCCCCTCAATGACTGTACATTCTTTATGTCCAAGTCCTGATGTACATGAAATTCAGCCCCATGATGAGATGCCCAGACACGGGCTAAATGTCGAAGAAGTAAAGCCACCAGGTACGGTCCTGCCACATAGCTGCAAACTGCCCCAAGACAGTGCTGAACCACCCTGCCATTCAGATTTGCACACAACCTTTGCTTCTGATACACCCAAGCCCTCCGTTTGTGGAAGTCAAAGGCTCCTTCAGCCAGGAGTTGATGGTGTCTTTCGGGACAAAGAAATCCCTGACATGACCTACCAGGGCATCTCTGAAGAGTCGCACAATTCTGACTTGTCAAGTGTGCTGGCTCCCTCTGCCACCTCACTGACTCATGTAGACAGTGTTCATGAGAAGAACTGGGGTGCCCTTCAGCGAAAGTACCTCCTTGGACTCTCTCGTTCTGTCTTGGAAGCTGTGGGAGAGCCCAGGCCAGCTTGCTCCTTTCTGGAGGAAGACTCTAGCTCCCTGGCTGAGGCTTCTGATAAAGTAGAAGATCAATTGCCTGTTGGCCCTGGGGTATCTACAAATTTAGATTTCAGCTACTTTACAGTCCACCCATCAACAATCAGGCACTTAAGAGCAGAGAAAGACCATGACAGTTTGAGTGCCAACTTAGAAAGTGCTTCTGATCTCTTCAGTACCATTGAGAAGGTGAGTTACAATGGGGCATACTCAGCAGACCTAGAATCCCTGGCTTCTGGATCCATAAACGCACAGACCTGTACAGCAGGAAACACGATACCAAATTCTATGACAGAAGCATGGGAAGTCAATCAGGCCAGCTTGGAAGGGTGCCTCCAGGGTAGCAGGAACCCTGGGCTGATAACGTCCTCTGGGCAGTATTTCTTCCAGAAGAAGGCTTATCACAGTCACGATACCTTAGCCACCAAAGTGAACCATTGGCCACGGAAGCAAACCATTGGCCCTCTTAGGAAAAACACTGCTGTGCAGCCAAGACCATTAAGTCACAACAGCCACCAGCACCCCCTGCTGGAAGAGAAGGCAGATTCTCAGCAGCATGCCAAGGAAGCAGATGGAACACATACAGATGCTTCTGGCCCTTTCCCTCCAGGTCCAGAGCTGTTCCTGCACTCTGAGCCCTGGAGTCCTTTCCCATCTTCTCTGCAACCACCTCCCTTGGAGACATTCTATGTAACCAAAAGCAGGGATGCCCTGACAGAGACTGCCTTAGAGATCCCAGCCTGCAGGGAAGCCTGGGTGCCATCCCCACCCCCCAGGGAAGCCTGGGGCTTTGGTCACAGCTATCAAGTCCTCCAGAAAGCTCACTGGAAGAATAATTTACCCAAGTTGTCACAAAGCCAGAATTCTAAGATTGACTCATCTCAGCAGGTAACAACAAAGAGGCCAACTGATCTGAACACAGGAGATATTACTGAAGAACTGGAGAAATGTTCTAGAAATACGAGAGAGGAAGGAAACCATGATTCTGCTTACTGTTTTGTTACTCAGAACAGACATCATCTCCCTTCTACCAGCCTCAAAGTTTGTGAATGTGGAAGTCAACTTGGAGTTTTAAATAAAAAGTACAGCCTCTCGGTCCACACGGAAGGAGAAGGGGCCTCGGCATGGCACCACTGCAGTGTTGCCTTGGACGGCTCGGAGTCAAATACTTTGCTCTTCATTTGTGATACCAAGGCAAGTGAGGAAGAGCAGAGCCCACTCCCACCACAGATACAGGCCTGTGGTGTGCACAGCCAGCCTTCTTCAGGAGCCAGGTCCAAGTTCATTGGTAAAATCACCAATTTAGATCTGGAGAAGGTCATACCAGAGGAAATTGCTGTTTCTTTGAAGTCCAGATCACTCCACTGTCCAATATGCAGCCCTGTGATCATGGCAGGAGGTGGGAGTCCAACTCATAGGTGGGAGGGGAGGAATGAAACTGTGCTTCTGAGGGAAATGATTTCCAAAGACATCCAAGAAGAGTTTAGTCTTCCAGGAACCCAGTATACCTGTGAAAGATGCCATCTAGTTATGTGCTCTCAGGAAAGAAAGCCTATTGAATGCAAGGCCCATGGGCAGTCACAAGAAAAAAAGTCCAAAGAAGAACTTTTGGGAGAGAAACAGAATAAAAGAGTGAATAATGCCGATGAGATGGCTAAACTGATCAGGAGTGTGATGCAGCTGGAAACTGGCATCTTAGAAATCGAATCCAAGAACAACAAGCAGCTTCATGCTCCCCAAACTCCAAGTACAGATTTTATGCTCCAGGCCCTCTGGGATCAGGAGAGGGCTGACCATGTCCTGATGCCAGGAAGTTCTGGAAAACACTTATTCTTTGAGGATCAGCCATCTTTTCCAATACAGATAGAGGACGGTCTCTTTGGAGACCGTGAAGCTAGGGAAATGGAATATAACAATGCTATCAGTAATAACTCCCAGGTCCAGAAAATCATAGGAAGCCCCTTCAGATCAAAGGGACATGCACAAGAGAGGCTGTCTGAGAGTGGACACTCACACCCATCACCTGAAGTAGACGGACTTGCCAGGGGTCCGTGTGATTCTTTGGAGAAGGACAAAGCTGGCAGAGAGTCTAGCAACATTTCCCTTCACTCAAGGAGAATGAAAGTGTTCACTAGAGCTCCGCCATTGCAGCTCAGTGTGGTGAGCTCTCCTGAGAAGGATGATATGCTGCTAAATGTATCAGCAGACTTCCAAGACCAGGCTTGGGCCTTGGAAAATCTCAAGGAACCAGAGACTATGGAAAGTTTTCAGGAAAGCCAAATTGTTGATCTCCTAAGGGATTTAGAGTTGGAAGATACAAAAGCTCACAGAAGAGTTGAAGAACTGACCGTGGAACAGGGAGAGAACCAGCAAGAAGAGAATATGGTCTCATTGACCCAGAAACCTTGTGCTCCAAGTCAGCACTGTAAGGGGACATTTTTCAGCCAGGAGACTGTCTCGCCATTCCATAACCAGACAGACTTCTCTGAAGCTCTTCCTTATGGAGAACTGAGTGGTCCTCAGCCCTTGCATTCTCCAAGCTTACTAAGAAGCTGTTTGCATGCCTCTGATACCAAAGGCATCTCTTCATTTGAGTACATGTTAGAGCCTACAGTGTTGAAAATTAATAGAAGTTCTTTGGCAACTGGAGTAGGACATCAGGATTACAGTGCAGAGGCCAGAAGCAGTAGCCCCCAGGGAAGTGTTACAGGGGATGCTTGCACTGCACACACTGCCTGGTGTGGGTCTGTGACACCCATGGTCATGAGAGCTAGTGATGAGTCTGCTACACCGGAGAGCATTCTCCTAGAGACAGAGGACTGGATAACAGTAAGCACCAGCCCCCAAGAAGACCAGAGAGGGCTAGTCACTTCAACAGTCTTGACTACCCAGGGAGGCTTGGGTTCTGAATCTGAGGCAACTGTACAAAAAGAAATAAAAACCCGTTCCTTGAACAGGGTCTCAAGGCAGGCTGAAAAGAGGGTCAGTTTCCTCTTACAAGATGATAGTGACCAGAGTGAGGAGGAAAGGCAGAAGGCAGAGAAGAAGTCCAAAGACCACCAGCCTGCTAGCAGGGCTTGTCTAACATCTTTGTCTCTACTGAGGGCGCCTGATCCAGAGCCTGTGCTACTACCCGACTCCTCTGTCCATGCATCCATATGCCTGGCTATCTTGGCAGAGATCAGACAGGCAAAAGCACAGAGGAGGCAGCTTAATGACTTCGTGGCTGAGGGGACAGTCCTTCCTTATGAGACTTTGCAAGAAGAGTGTTTTCCAAAGGCGGCTGGTAGGCCTCGGGAGCAAACGGTTAAGTTAGGTTGGGACAGCACCAGGAGTGAGGATGAAGCCCAGGGACCGCATATGTCCTCTCCATCTGCTGTGTCTGCTGAGAGGAAAGACCAAGCCATGCCTCCCAGTGCAGGGGGCTTTCAGCATCTGCCCCATCCTGAAACTGACAGAGGACCGTGGCATCATTTGCTGGCTTCCTCTCACATTGTCCCAGATCTAGAAAAAAGACATTGTACCGGAGAACCAACGCAGTTTGGGGGAGCAAGTGGATGGTCTGATTCTTCTGAAGTCATGGAGAAAAAGAAAGAAACATCCAGAACATTGTCCTCTGTTGATCCTTTGGCCTCAGATGGGCTTCTTTCTATACCAGCTGTAGAACAGGATGGGAGGGTAGGATCAGAAAATGTATCTGTCTTACCTTCTCAAACTTCTTGTGATGATCCTGGCAGGATTCTGCATGGGCAAAGTCAGTTAGCTGCATGGAAAACTGCAGAGATTATACCCTTTGGTCATCAGGACAGCATCCCAGAGGATAAGGAACCTAGAAGACTGTATAGTACATGTGGAGGAGGCTCAGGTAAAATCTCAGTGGCCACACAGGAAGGGAAAGCAGTCCATTCTGAATGTCAGTCTGTGATCTGTAATGCTGATAATTCTGCAGGCCTTTCAGGGCCTAAGCAAGACCGTGTTCAGTGCTCGGATGCTTCTACTGCCTTAGAAGAAATGAAGGCAAGTCCAAAGCCATGTGTTGTCCACCCAGGAGCTCCTAGAAAAGTTGAAGCAGAAGCTCACATGTGGCATCCTGTCAAGTGGAAAAATGTTGACTCTCGCCTGGCAGAAGCCCATGAGGCTGACAGCAGTAATCCAAGGTCAGCTCCCTTGCTAGATCAAAGACCTAGCCTGCATCTTAGTAGAGTTAGAGAAGAGGTTCCAGGTCTGCACCCCAAAGAGCGCCTTGTCTTCGAGGGGAGCGCCGGAGGCAACAGGCCCCTTGGCTCATCTTATGAGGAGGAAGAGAACAGAACTATTCCTTGGCCTCAACTAAGTGGTTCCCCACCTCCTGCTGTTCATGCCTGCTGCTCCTGTTCCTCCACTCTGCCCTGTTATAGAGATGGTGTCCTTAGGAAGGGAGCTCCTCAGGCTGCTGTACATCCTGCCCACTCACCTCTCATCGTACCGTCTAGGGCCTGTGACGTGGACGGAACAGCAGAGAGCTTTTCCAAAGACTCCCAGGTGTCTTTGGCACACGACCTCGAGCACAAGCATGTTAATGTAGAACTGGGGCCTGTAGACAGTAGCATTCCCAACCCATCCACTGCAGCTGCTAGCTCCTCTCCAGCTCAAAGCTGCTATTCCCTGTCCACCTCAGAAGGGAAGGCAAATTGCCTCCTCCATATAGTTGCTGGTAGAAGGTCAGCTGAAGGTTCTGAGAAGAAGACTTCAGGGAAGAAGGCCAGCACTGCCCCTGAGGATGCTTATTCAACCAGTCCTGCAGGCGCACATTCTGAGCCACTGAGGACTTTAAAGGGTAACTCTGTAGGGGAGGATGCACAGGCATCTAAAACCAAGCCAGAAACTCCTGTGGTGACTCAGGGACCACATACCCTAAATTTAAATGAAGGATCTGTTGACGGCAAGCTGGTAATAGCAGCTCAGTGTGGACATTTAGAAAACACCACTAGACGCTGTTCGGAAAAGACACAATCTTCCATTGAGGTCAGGAGTCACAGTTGCTTGGGTCCCCAAGCCAATTTTATAGACAGGTTAAAACACACCCACTACCCTCAGATTGAGACTTTGTGGGAGGAAGAAGGGCACCAGAGAGACCAGACTTCAGGAGGCGGCGAAGACCATGCCCAGGTCAGAGATCTAGCCTCTTTAAACGAGGGCGGCTTGGATGGCGCTCATCCCAGAGGTGGTGGGAGGGAAGGGATGGCTGTGACCATGGCTCTGGTGGCCCAGACTGTCTTTTCAGACCTTGAACACCTAGCTTCTCTGCCCTTGGGGCAGACTGAAACATCACAGCCTGCTGCTCAGACTCCAGGCCAACTCAGCTCTGGAAGGGAGCAGCCTGCTGTCTGCCACAGGCACTCAGTTCCTATGATTGCAGTCTTCTCTGGCCCTGAGCATGCCAGGTACTCCCCTAGACCTCAGTTCTCTGTGGCCAATTCATCTCTATCTTTTCAAGAATTAAATTTGAGTGTGGCATCTCCTCCAACAAATGAAGATGCACAGGGGCCAAAGAGTTTGTGGAGCCCACATCTCAGGGGCCATTCCTCAGAAAAGCCGATGTCGACGTCTCCAGAGACTCAGGATTGCGATCAGGGAGCTTCATGTACTTTGAACAATAACCCCACTGATCACAGGCCCCCGAAACCTGTCATTCCTCCTTATCCAACATCTTCTACCATGTCATGTATGCCAACCCCTGATTTTATGACTAACTGGATGCCTGGTACTTTGGAACGGGGCCCGCAAAGGAAGACAGATAAACTGAGTGTCCAGGGCATGCCAGAGAACCGGCACTCTCGGGCGGACAAAGAAATGCCGCTCTTTGGCTCTAGTGACAGAAACCCCTATGTCCTGCCCTGGCGTCCGCAGGGACCTGTGCAGATTGGCTGGAAGCAGTATGTGTTTGGAAGTGCAGATGCTGTCTCTTGTAGCCAGAAACCCCAGTGCCTAATACCATCAAATACGGCTCAGTGCTCCAGCATGGACAATGCCCTCGATGACAAGAAACCCCCACTTCACTCCCATCTCAGGACTTATGCCCCAAATCAGGATCTGCCAAACATCCGCAGCAGTATCGAGAATGACCGAAGTTCAAAGGAAGGCTGGGAAATAAGGAGTTCCTCACTGGCTGTGGAGAAGCCCCATGACTTGACTGGATCTGAAGGAGTTGCCCCAACTTGGGATCCTGACAAGAGATCCCCACTCAAGGACTCTTCTGAGGAAATAGGCTGTCTACAGAGTGAGCTGCCTCTGGCTGGAGAGAGTGCCACAGCTCCAGTAGATGAGATTGTAGCGCTCTGCCCGTCTGAGACAGGCTGTGCTGGGAGGCAGGCCCGGATGAACACCTTTGAGCAGGGAACCCAGACCCTGGGCGGCAGGCTCTACTGGAGTTGCACCGATCTCTCTACTCAGCCTGACGCTAGGTCAGTGTCGGACTCTGATCTGGCCTCCTGGACCAGCATGCACAATCTTTCTCTCCACCTCTCCCAGCTTCTGCACAGCACTTCCGAGCTGCTTGGGAGTCTCTCACAGCCAAGTGTGGTCCTAAAGGAGCAGAACAGCAAGAGTGACTCCCTAGGTGAGGCCCCACAGGCCCTCATGATGGACAGTTCTACTCAGACCACTGTGGATGAGGGCATTCAGACGGACCTGGCCTTACATCCTCTGCCCTTCCAGGCCCCAGAGGTCAAGCCTCAGGAAGTCAGTGTGATCCTTGAAGTGATGGACTCAGGTGTCACTACCGTGGTTCAAGAAAAGGGATATGTCCCAGGGGTATTTCAGAAGAAAAGGGCAGAGGAAACAGAAACCCCAGATCACCATGAAGGAAATACCCACTATAAGCTGCAGAGGCCTCCTGTGCCCTCACCACACTTGAGGTTTCAAAAAACCCATCTTGGGCAGAACCTTACTTTTGTGAGCCCCCCACCTTCTACTGATGGCTCCCCACCTCCCAGTCTGCAGCCAGAGGAATCTTCCATGGTGGTCAACAGTTCCAGCATCTCCCGCCACTCAGGGCTCTTCCTTGGAGCTTCAGAGTTCACCCAGGAGAAGCTGGGCTCCTCGAGTGCCCTGCTGGTGGACAGGGCTTCCTCTCCAATCCTTACATTTAGTGCCAGCACCCAGGAGTTGAGCAACCCCTTAGCCTGTTGGACTCTATCAGTTCCCTCAGCTCATCCTCTTGAAGACTTCCAGGAGATTGACATTAGTCCTGACCTTACTGTTGGTAACCCAAGACCTCCAATGGATAATTCTCAAGCCATTAATGAGTCCGCTGTCACTCAGAGAGCTGAGTCTCTAGATAGAGAAGGCAAGAGCCCCTTAGAAAAGAGTTCTGAGAGATCATTTGATTCTAGTTCCCCATGCAGCCCAGAGCAGAGCTCTAGTCTCCAAGTTAGTTTCTTAGGGCAGGCCCCTCTGCAACTTCAGCCCAGGAGCACCACTGGAGACCAAAGCAGACTGACATCTCCTCTACCAAGGCACAAGAGCCTGAAGCTAGCTGACAGCTTCGGGCCTGAGAAGGTGGCTTCCATAGAGCATGGTCCACGGAGCAGTAGGAGGCCAAGTCAGTGGCCGGGCAGGGCAGCAAGTGAGGAAGAGAGCTCAGTGTTTATAGTGGAGCCACAGCCCAGTCTGGATCTATCTTCTTCCTGGAGAGGTCTTCAGCCCCTTAGCCCTTGTCCTGTCTCCGATACTACAGGGCTTCGAAATCCTGCGGTAGAGCCACCTCAGGCCTGCCAACCTGTGGAGCTGCTCTGCCCTGATTCACATGTGTGTGTGGCCCCTGATCTCCAGCATCACAGCCTGAGGGACCTCCCAGTTCATAACAAATTTGATAACTGGTATGGAGTTCGGGATGGGTCTTGTGGAGAGCTACATGTCAGTGAGAATGGAGGGGTTGGGTGTGATTCCAGTTCTGGAGACCAAACCCAAAGGCCCCTGCAATCTTCTGATGACAACAGCCAGAATCCTGTGTGGCCCCGGTTGAAGCACATCCCTTTGCAAGTTGGGATCCAGAAACCCTCACTCAGTGTGGAACTCACAGAAGCAAAACTACACCGTGGCTTCGGGGAGACAGATGCCCTGCTGAAGGTGCTGCAGAGCAGGACAGGGGAGGCGCTTGCTCCTCAAGAACCTGCTCTGTCCTCTTGGGAGGAGCGCTCCACCAGGTAGGCCCTGGGCCTGGAGGGTAAGGGTAGGCAAGGTAAAACAGGACCCACCTGAGGAAACTTAACAGTGAGCTATTAGCTCTGCCCTTGCCCCCCTCAGGGATCTTCCACAGAGTCAGAGAACTTGAGGGTGAAGGCCATGTAAGACTGACTTCAGTGGATCAATTACATTTTGTCTCAGGCAGAAAAAGACTATAGAGACCCTCAGGAGGGAGAGGGCTGAGCGACTTCATAACTTTCGTCGAACAAGAAGCCTCAGTCCCCAAAAACAGTTCGGCTTCCTGCCCAGCAAGGATCTTCCCACCTGGGAACTTGACTTGCCCAGCAGACGCCAAGAATACCTGCGGCAGCTGAGGAAGGATGTCGTGGAGACCACTAGGTAAGGGTGAATCTGTGGGAGCAGGGGCTGGAATTTGAACATCCCAGAGGCTTTTCCATGCTTCTGGATAAACTGAGGTAGATGTAGGAGTCTGGGAAATAGGATGTATAGGAGGGGATGGGATCTAGGGTTGCAGAAGGAGGTGGGCAGAGAGAAGTCGTGGGACAGTATTAGACAGAGGGACTCGTATACTGTGCAAGTCTGTGTGCCTGGGTCTTAGAATGGCGTGTTCCTCCCTTTCTAGAAGCCTCATAAGGAAATAGAACGATGACTTTGTGGACAGCAGGAGGGCATGCTGAACCTGCTGGGGTGGGCAGGACCGTACTTTACACACTCATCGTGTTAGAAGTGTCTTTTCACCCTGTGGACTTCCCTAGGATCCCAGAACCAGCATCAAGATCAGCCCACCCACCCTCTGACATTGAGCTAATGCTTCAAGACTATCATCAGGCCCGCGAGGAGGCCAAGGTAGAGATTGCTCAGGCTCAGGCTCGGCTCAGGGAGCGGACTGAACAAGAAAAGCTGAGAATCCGACAGCAGATCATCTCCCAGCTGCTGAAGGTGAGGGAGGAGGTGAGCCTCTGCTGGAGGGCAGGCCTGGAGCCTGGGCCAGCTCTTAAGACTCCGGCAGCCTGTGAGTCTCTAGATAGACTTGGAGGGTGCAGGGCTCTGCTTCTAGCCCACAGCTGGGGTCATCACTCTGGTCACAGCCAGAGTATGGGAGGAAGAGGGCTCTGTGTGGAGTCAGGGATGTGGGGAAGCATGCAGAGTGGTGGCTTCTGGGAAGTAGGTGGGAGGCTACAGCAGCAGGCTCTGGGAGGTGAGTGGTAGCAGCTGTGGAGGGAGAGGGAAGGTTGGGGGGAGAATGTGGTAGTGAGGGTGTATCATCAGAGGCTAGTTTTCTGTCTTCTTCCCAGGAAGAGGAAAAACTGCAAACTCTAGCCAACTCCAGCTCCCCGTGCACCAGCTCTGATGGAAGCCTGTCTTCTGGCATCACATCTGGTTACAACAGCAGCCCAGCCTTCTCAGGCCACCTGCAGTCCCTAGAGGTTAAGGTGAGTGGACAGACATGAGGACGTTTCGGAGATGACAGTGTGTGTAGGACCTGTGCCTTCTTCTCAAGGTCTCTGCTGAGCCCTCTGCTTTAGGGCTGCCTTCCTCCCCTTTTAATCTTGCATTTCTGTGGTTTTTTTTAAAGTTTTGTTTTTATTTTTAATTGTGTGTGTGTGTTTGTTTGTGTGTAGGTACATGCATGTGAGTACTGGTGCCCACAGAGGCCAAAGTCATCAGATCCCCCCTGGAGCTGGAGTTACTGGTGGTTGTGAGCTATGTAATGTGGGTGCCAGAAATGGAACCTGGGTGGTTCACAGCTGGGCATGATGGTGCAGGATTTTAATCTTAGCACTCAGGAGGCAGAGGCAGGTGAATCTCTGGATCGACATTGTAAGATCCAGGACAGACAGAACTACATACTGAGACCCTGTCTCTGAACACCACCACCACCACCAAAAAAAGAAAGCCAGCAAACAGACAAAATAGTACACGGTCAGTTTTGTTTTATTTTGTTTGTTTATGTTTTGTCCTTTAAAAAAGATTTATTATTGGGCTGGAGAGATGGCTCAGAGGTTAAGAGCACTGGCTGCTCCTCCAGAGGTCCTGAGTTCTATTCCCAGCAACCACATGGTGGCTCACAACCATCTGTAATGAGATCTGGTGCCCTCTTCTGGCACGCAGGCATACATGCAGGCAGAACACTGTATACATAATAAATCAATCTTTAAAAAAAAATTTTTTTTTTTTTTGAGACAGGGGCTCACTGTATATAGCCCTAGCTGGCCTGGAATTCATTATGTAGACTGCATAGACTTTGAACTCCTAGAAGTCCGCCTGTCTCTACCTCTGTTTCCTGAGTGCTGGCATTAAAGGCATGTACCATCATGCCCAGCAGGATTATTTTTGTTTTGCGTGTGGGTTTTGCCGGCAGGTATGCTTGTGTACCACCTGAGTGCCTGATGCCCACAGAGATCAGAGGAGGGCATCAGATCCCGAGACTGGGATTACAGACAGTTGTGAGTCACTGGATGGATACTGGGAATCAAACGCAGGTCCTCTGGAAGAGCAGCCTGGCTCTTAATACTGAGCCATCTCTCCAGCCTCAACTTAAGCTTTTATTTTATCCAAAATAGTAGCTATTATTTTAGGAGAAGGTACTGAGCAAAATGTTACTGTCTTAGACTGTTAGAGGTAGAAATAGTGAGCTGCTTGGTGGTGGTGTTGTTGCTGTTGTTGTTGCTGTTGTTGTTGCTGTTCCTGTTGTTGTTGTTGCTGTTGTTGTTGCTGTTGTTGTTGCTGTTCCTGTTGTTCCTGTTGTTCCTGTTGTTGTTGTTGTTGTTGTTGCTGTTGTTCCTGTTGTTGTTGTTGCTGTTGTTGTTGTTGTTGTTGTTGTTGCTGTTGTTGTTGTTGTTGCTGTTGTTGCTGTTCCTGTTGTTGTTGCTGCTGTTGCTGTTGTTGTTGTTGCTGTTGTTGTTGCTGTTGTTGTTGTTCCTGTTGTTGCTGTTGTTGTTCCTGTTGTTGTTGTTGTTGTTGTTGCTGTTGTTGCTGCTGTTGTTCCTGTTGTTGTTGCTGTTCCTGTTGTTGCTGTTGTTCCTGTTGTTGTTGCTGTTGTTGTTGTTGCTGTTGTTGCTGTTGTTGCTGTTGTTGCTGTTGTTGTTGTTGTTGCTGCTGTTGTTCCTGTTGTTGCTGTTGTTGTTGTTGCTGTTGTTCCTGTTGTTGTTGCTGTTGTTGCTGTTGTTGTTGTTGCTGTTGTTGCTGTTCCTGCTGTTGCTGTTGCTGTTGCTGTTGCTGTTGTTGTTGCTGTTGCTGTTGCTGTTGTTGTTGCTGTTGCTGTTGCTGTTGTTGCTGTAGCACTGAGCTAACTGAAGGAACGCTAAGCCAGTGGACTAGGTAGTTTGTCCAAATCTACAAGGTCAGTGAAGACACCCTGAAGAGACTGAACTGAGACTAGAAGGTGACGAGAAGAGCTGAGTGGTGTTGGTGTTGGGAGAGGGACAGCCTAGGAAGCGTGGAGTGTGAAGAGCTAAGCAGGGCCCTGTGTGGCTGGAATACAGAGCAAGATGGCTGAGTGGCCAGAGAGTGTCCTTATGCCAGTACCACCCTGTTTTTGTTCCCATGATTCTGTATACGCCTTGCAATCAAGTATTATGAACCTTCCAGCTTTGTTTGCACTTTTTACTTAAGATTCTTTATTTGGGAGTATATTTCCATATGAATTATATGACATTTTGATGAGGATTATGCTGAATCTGTGGATCGATTGCTTTGAGTGTCATGGACATGTACTTGTATAATTCTTTCAAGTAATGAACTTTGGGGAGGCAGTTCCGTGTTTGAATTTAACGATTTTTAAAACAATTTTTTTTTTACTTATACATGTGTTTGTGTAAATGTGTGCACTGGATCCCCTGGAGTAGTTCTGAGCATATGTGGGTGCTGGAAACTGAAGTGGGGGTACTTTGGAAGATCAGGAAGTGCTCTTAACCTCTGAGCCTCTCTCAGTGCCTGTCTTCAATTTCTTTCTTCAGTGTTTTGCAGTTTTCATTGTGCAGATCTTTGACTTTCTTAGTTATGTTTATTTTTAGCCACAAAATAAATAAATGAAACACATATTATGGATGGTATTGTTTTTATAGTTTGTTTTTTAATAGTATGTTGAATTTCTTAAAAATTTACTTTTATGTGCATGCATGTGTGATTGAATTTGTATATGTATACCATGTGTGCCTGGTGCCCACAGATGCCAGGAGAGGGCATCAGCTCTCCTGGGAATGAAGCTAGAGACAGTTGTGAACTGTCTCATGGATCCTGAGAACTGGACTGGGGTCCTCTGGAAAAGCAACACATGGTCTTTTTGATTGTTTTCTTTTCCTGAGATAGGGTCTCAGTTATGTAGCCCTGGCTATGTAGACCAGGCTGGCCTTGAACTCAGATCTGCCTGCCTCTGCCTCCCAAGCACTGGGATTAAGGGCATGTGCCACTATGCCTGGCTGCAGCATGTGCTCTTAACCACTGAGCCATCTTTCTAGCTCCTCAATGTATTTTTAAATTCCGTTTCCAAGTATTTTTTTTTTTTTTTTTTTTTTTTGGTTTTTCGAGACAGGGTTTCTCTGTGTAGCTTTGCGCCTTTCCTGGCACTCACTTGGTAGCCCAGGCTGGCCTCGAACTCACAGAGATCCGCCTGGCTCTGCCTCCCAAGTGCTGGGATTAAAGGTGTGCGCCACCACTGCCCGGCTCCGTTTCCAAGTATTTTGTTGAGAATTTTTGCATCTATATTCATCAGAGAAGTTAGCCTATAGTCTTCTTGTTGTGTGTTTATCTGGCTCTGGTAACAGGAGGGTACTGGCTTCCTAGAATGAGTTTGGTTGTGTTTCTTTCCTTTCTATTTTATGGAACAGTTTGAAGAGCATTGGCATTAACTTCTAAGGTTTGGTAGAATTTGGTAATGAAGTCATTCAGTATTGGACTTTTCTTTGTTGTATTACGGTTTTAGTCTTGTTGCTTGTTATAGATCTGGGGTTTTTTTTTTGTTATTTTGTCTTTTTTTTTTTTTTCCCAGAGCTGAGGGCCGAACCCAGGGCCTTGCGCTTGCTAGGCAAGCGCTCTACCACTGAGCTAAATCCCCAACCCCTAGATCTGCTTTTTTTTTTCCCCACTTGATTTTATTTTTGTTGGCTATCTACCTGTATCTAGGAATTTACCCAGCTTTTAGGAATCTAGGTTGTGAAGTCCTGACCCTCTGGATTTCGCTGTCCCTGTCATTCCCTTCTCGTCATTTTAGTCATCTGGGACAGTTCTCTCAACTACAGTGTCCTCTTTCCCTTCTGTGTCACACTTGTTCCCCACATGCTCTCTGCAGGTTTAAGTCAGTCACTCTACTAGGCCAGGTCTTGTTTATGAGGTGGCTCCCCTTGCTGTTAGTAGAGTGGAATTTCTATGGGACCCCAGAGATGGGGACAGGAATTTCTGATCCCGAGAGTAGTCCAAATTTAAACAGTTAGGTCCGTTATCAAAATGGTTTCTGTCTACAGCACCCTAGGGGATGGCTGGGAGTTAAAGTGAATCCTTTCCCAAAGCCAGGCTGTGGAGATTCCAGGTTCCTTATCTCGCTAGGCTGTAAGCCTGTAAGGGTTGTGGGTCTTCCCAGTCGCCAGGCTTGTCCTGTTTGCAGTGATTGAGTTCTCCCTACAGAAGGGAGCCGTCTTTCTGGGTGATGAAGCCAGGGCAAGTGCTGGGATACTTTGTTTCTCCTGCTGTGTTCTTGTGTCAGTTTTTTGGAAGCTACAGGTTTCCATTCTCTGTTGTATGGAATCCCAAAGCTCTTCCGTAGTTGCTCCTGAAAATGTGAAGTTACAATCTGCTGCTTTGTATTTGTGGAGGAATAAGTGACTGACACCAGGTCCAAAATATTTGTCCTTAGGTCACATGTGCCACATTGTACACTCAGCAAACAAGGAGGCTATCATATTGGATAGCACCCTTCTCTAGATTTCTCTGTAGACCAAGCTGACCTCGAACTCACAGAGATCTGCCTGGCTCTGCCTCCCAAGTGCTGGGATCAAAGGCATGCGCCACCATCGCAGGCCCATCTAGATTTCTTTAGGACTGTAGGCATGCCATGTCAAATTCTAGACATCTCCTCATGTTCTTACTGGTACTTTGTGCTTCTGCCCTGTAGCTGTATTAGCTAGATCCTGAGTAGGTGAGAACCAGTGTTCTCACCTTTTTCTAGACATTAGCAGGAGGCTTCTATTACTTCATACTAGGTTTTAAACGGAGATATATTTTACCATAAGGGGGCTTTACTTTCCAGTTTTTGGAGATTGTTATCTTGTGCGTTTGTTCATATTGGCTAATATGAAACTATTCTTGCCTTCTTAAAATTCTCTAAATACACATGGAATACTTGTACACATGATGTATTCTTCCCTTTTTTTTTTTTTTTTTTTAAATAGTTTACTTTTACATTCATTGGTGTTTTGCCTACATGTATATCTGGGAGAGTGTCAGATCCCCTGAAACTGGAGTTACAGACAGTTGTGAGCTGCCATGAGGGTGCTGGGAATTGAACCCAGGTCCTCTGGAAGAGCATCCAGTCCTCTTAAGCACCAAGCCATCTTCCTAGCCCTTTTTTAAAAATTTGTGTTTTCTGAGACAAGGTTTCTCTGTGTAGCCCTGGATATCCTGGAACTTACTTTATAGACCAGGAGTATTATTCTTTTAATGTGCTGTTGCAGCCTGCTAATTTTTAAGGGTTTTTGCATATTTCTATAGTTTTATATTTCAATTTTTGATAGCTATGTTATATATGAAGTCTTTAATTTATAAACTAATCAGTGTTTTCCTGCTTTTGGCCTTTTAAAGTTTTTCTTTTAATACTACATTTTTCTTGCCCCCAATATTATCTTTGACCCAAAAAGCATAAACGATTTTGGCCTGATCTATAAAATGGGTCTCTGATGTAATCCCTGCCACCAATGCCAACTCAGTTGTCATAGCAATATTAATTCATGATTATAGCTAGAAATCACCAGTGTAGCACTGTCAACAGATGAAGTTGCTTGAGGCATTGGCCCAGATGCAGAAGAACCTCAAGATGATTGTGGTTGAGGGGGAACATGGGTGGGAGCTGAGAGCCTGAGCGCTAGGGGAACAGATCTTGATGGGCATTGACAGCCTGCTGAAAGATGCAGGCAGATGGGGCTGGATGCGTCTTGTTGTCCCACAGTATTGTGGACTATGGTGGTGGTTTTTTTGAGGAGTGGTGAGAGCAAATGGTTCTAGGTTCTGGCAGGTGCTGTGCAAGTGAGAGGTAGGAGATGACAAATAGAACACTGACTTCAGGAAGCTCAGTGCTAGGAAAGACATCTCTGTATATTTCAATGCTCATATCTCGTGAAAAGGGAGAGGTGGAGGCAAGTGGAGAGATGATTAGGTGAAAGAGATCCTGACAGTGACAGATCTAAAACCGACTCAAGACTGTTGCTGCAGGAGAGAGAATAAGGAGGTAGAACGGATTGTCGTTTACCTAGGTATACATAGGATGCAGGTACCATGTCACATATGGAGGTCAGAAGACAGCTTTCAGTATCAGTTCTGTCCCAGGGACTCTCCTCTTCAGGCTTGGTGACAGATGCCTTTACCTGCTGAATCATTTCACTAGCAATGTTTTTGTTCCACTGAAAGGCTGGCTTGGGAGCTGGTAGTTTACTAACCAAAGACAGGAGAGATCCAGAGGCTCTGGTCCTGTAGTAGGACTTCTGGCTCAGTGCTGAACTTGGCCAGGGCCAAGGTCTGCTGTCCAGAGCTCATTGTTTGCTCATCTCCTCTTCACTGACTTTATTACCCACACCAACCCCCCCCCCCCCGTGATCTCTTCACTGACTTTATTACCCACACCAACCCCCCCCCATGATCTCTTCACTGACTTTATTACCCACACCAACCCCCCCCCCCCCCCCCGTGATCTCTTCACTGACTTTATTACCCACACCAACCAACCCCCCCCCCCCCCCCCCCCCGCCCCCAGTGATGGCTTGCCTCCTGCTGCCAAGATACAGATGACTTATACAATGACCATGGAGTTCGGTCATTCAGCAGAGGGCCCCATGCTCACGTTTTGGTTATTCCAATTGCCATGGCAGCTGATCTGCAAGCAACTCTTTAAGCCTGTGGCCTGGATAATGAAGCCTTCTTGGCTGGAACCTATTGCTATAATCTCTTGAGGGCATCTGTCTTAGTTACTGTTCTACTGCTGTTAAGAGGCAACTCTTGGGCTGGAGAGATGGCTCAGCGGTTAAGCGTACTGACTGCTCTTCCAGAGGACCTGAGTTCAATTCCCAGCAACCACATGGTGGCTCACAACCATCTGTAATGAGATCTGGTGTCCTCTTCTGGGCTGTAGGCATACATGCAGGCAGAACACTGTATACATAATAAATAAATCTTTTTTTTAAAAAAAAAGAGGCAACTCTTACAAAAGAAAGCATTTAATTAGGGGCTTGCTTACAGTTTCGGGACTTAGTCCATTATTATCATGGCAGAAAGCATGGCGGCAGGCAAGCATGGTGCTGGAGAAGTAGCTGAGAGCTATACTCTTTAAAAAATATTATGTATACAACGTTCTGTCTGCATGTTTGCCTGCACAATAGAAATGGGCATCAGATCTCATTATAGATGGCTGTGAGCCACCATGTGGTTGCTAGGAACTGACTCAGGACCTTTAGGAAGAGCAATTAATACTCTTGACCTCTGAGCCATCTCTGCAGCCTGAGAGCTGTATTCTGATCCAGAGAAAGTGACACTGGACCTGGCATGGGCCTTTGAAACCTCAAAGCCCATCCCCAGTGACATTCTTCCTGCAACAAGGCCACACCTCCTTAATCCTTTCAAATAGTGCCCACTCCCTGGTAACCAACAGTGTCAGCCTCGGTGAGTCCAAGGGCTTGAAGGCTTCCAAAGCATTCAAATATATGAGCCTTTTGGGGGCCATACTTATTCAAACCACCATAGCATCCAGCCTCCTGAACTTCCATCACAATCACTAGTGGAAGCCGCTTCTGGATCTCCTGTTCTAAGTATCTCTTTTCTGTAGGAGGACACTCAAGTACCAGACTTCCAAGACTCTTGGACAGGGGACTGGCGGGGCCGGTCCACAGTGAGGAACAGTCAGCTGTACCTAACCGGGTCTGCCTGGAAGAGTTTAGCTTACAGTGAGTAGGAAGCTTGGGGATTGATAGCTGTGGGATTAACTGGCGCAAGACTCTTGGTCCCATACCACTGTCCCACCACCCTGCTGTTTTATCTCTTTGTTGCAGGCCACAGAGCCTCCCTGGGCATTGGCGGCTGCTCTCCCTCCAGCCTATCCAGTTTAGGGACCTGTTTCTCCTCCCTCTACCAGGATTTGGCGAAACACATTGTCAACACCTCAATGGCTGATGTGAGTCTGTGTGTACTTCTTTCCCCTTCTTGTTTCTATAGCCAGACTTATGCTGGATGGGGAGGGAGGAAAAGGAGCCAAGCAGATTAGGGCCAAGGCATGGGAGCTTCAGGAACTCACCTTGACAAATGGGCATTTAGTAAAAATTAGCCAGAACTGATGAACCTAGAGACTTGGCTTCTACCCTCTGACCCCAGGTAATGGCTGCTTGTTCAGATAATCTCCACAACCTCTTCAGCCGCCAGGCAACAGCTGGCTGGAAGTAAGTTATTTTGCAGTACTTCGGTCCTTCTGCTATCATTCTCTTCCTTCTCTGCCCTGGCTTCCTGGCACACCTCATGCTGGTAGCCTCCTTTCTATTTCTTGTCTCCTGTGTCCCCCAGCTACCAGGGTGAGGAACAGGAGGTGCAGCTTTACTACAAGGAATTTTCTTCTACTCGACATGGCTTCTTGGGTGCAGGTGTGGTGTCCCAGCCACTCTCTCATGTGTGGGCAGCTGTGAGTGACCCTACTCTGTGGCCTCTGTACCACAAGCCTATCCATACAGCAAGGCTGCACCAGCGAGTGTCCAACAGTATCAGCCTGGGTGAGTCCAAGGACTCGAAGGCTTCTGAAGGCCTGGCCAGGGTCAGAGGTAGAGGGTTGGAGTAGCACTGTTGGGAACTCCAGACTGCTCAGCAAGATTGTGCTAGAGATCTAGTAATGGAGTAAAAGGGGGCTTTTGAGCATGGAATCTGTCTGTTCTTCTAGTGTACTTGGTGTGTGACACCACAATGTGTGCGCTGAAGCAGCTGCGGGATTTCTGCTGTGTCTGCGTGGAAGCCAAAGAGGTGCCTATATTGCTGGTGGTAAAATGTTTTGGGATGAACTTGGGCTGAGGTGCAGTTAGCGGGCACTAGGGTAGGGTGGCGTAAAGGCTGATTGTAGTCATCATCCTGTTTTGTCCTTACACAGGCAGGACTCACATGTATCTCTGTCCCTAGGGGCACCTGTCAATCATGGCAGCTCAGTCTGTGTATGACACATCCATGCCAAGACCCAGCAGAAAAATGGTCCGAGGAGAGATCCTGCCCAGTGCCTGGGTCCTGCAGCCTGCCATCATGGAGGGAAAAGAAATCACAAGAGTCATCTTCCTTGTCCAGGTGACAGCACTGTATCCTGTCTCATGGTATACCTTAGGGTATTTCTCTCCAGCGGCACAGGCCACCCTGGCTAGAGTAGGCTCACAGCAAGGGGAGTCAAAGAGCGAGGGATGAGCAAGTTTATAGTCGTTGTGACGCTCCCAGCCCCAGAGATTGACTGACTTAATACCTTATGGCTGACCATAGTGTCCTTAGGAAATAGATGGACTGTTGGAGGCAGCAGCAGCAGAGTCCTAACTTACCCGTTGTGTACAGTTCTCCACTCTCAGGCCAGCTGCACCTTCATCATCGGGGAGGGGAAGGCTAGTACTTAGATCCACACCGGGAGCCCAAGTGCGTGTCCAGTCACCACTGCCAGAGTGGCTGCTCCAGGTCTGTCTGCACCTTCACTTCTTCTCCTTCTCCTTCCAGGTGGAGCTGGGTGCACCAGGCTTCCCTCCTCATCTTCTCAACTCCTTTATCAAACAGCAGCCGCTGGTTGTGGCCAAGCTGGCATCATTCCTTGGTAGTTAGCAGCACTGTCTCCACGGCCCTATACTGAGATGTAGGCCCAGGACACCTCAGACTCTATACTGCTTCTAAGCAAGAAGAGCCCAGGCTGCCTGTGGTAGCCAACTGTACAGATGGCACCGGCCCCGAGTTGCCAGCAAAACCAGTACTTAGTACTTGGTCACCTCTTAAGAGTGAGCAACCTGAATCGCCTGGCTGTCCAGTGAAACTCAACTCACCTTTAGGATTTCTTCCCTTTATTTCCTGCCTCTGGGACTCAGTGACACACCAAGTGTTCAAAGACTGGAAAAAGCACAGCCTGCAGAGCTGGAGACTGCAATGCCTTGGCAAGGTGCCTCCTTGGCAGGCAAGCACTAGCCAAGGGTGCTCTGAATCTGCCTCCAACATTTAGCTCCATTTTGTGATGGAGCAACAGAAAAGACCAAACCAGTTTAAAGAATCAACTGCACAAACCAGACTGATTCAGAATTGTTTTCTGTCACCAAGTGTTTACTATTCACATTCACACACACCGTTTCCTAGGTCACTGTGTGTCACTGGTACAGTCAGTCTACCTTGAGCTCAGTACAATGGGAGACCGACCACTGGAGAAACAGACAAGGTGTGGGGCCTGAGGACCAGTGATGGGTAGGGGCAGCTACATGCTGCTTGCTAACATGGTAAGAGAGATTTCAAACAGACTGTCTTGGAGAGGATTAAGTTCTGGCAGGCCTTGATCTTGTGCCAACACTTACGCCTCAACCTCCCAAATGCTGGGATTATGAGCTACTACACCTGGAACCTGCTTCTTTTTATATAAATCTATTGACTGGCTGGGCGGTGGTGGCGCACGCCTTTAATCCCAGCACTCGCGAGGCAGAGCCAGGCAGATCTCTGAGTTCGAGGCCAGCCTGGTCTACAGATCAAGATCCAGGACAGGCACCAAAACTATACTGAGAAACCCTGTCTTGAAAAAACAACAACAAAAATAAATAAATGAATCTATTGATGAGTAGGGTGTGGTGGCACATGCCTACAGCACTCTGAAAGGAGAAGCCAGAGGACCAGAAGTTCAAGCTCACCCTCAGGGAGCCAGCCCGGGATACATGAGACCCTGTCTCAACCAACAAAAATTGACCATCTTTTGAGGTACTGAGCTTAACTGTTCTAATATGATAGAATGGAAATGGGACTTTTTTCTTGTATTTTGGCCTGGCTGAACACTAAAGATTTTCCATGTTCATCGGGAAATGGTAGGGATAAGAAATTCCCTTTATTGCCGGGAGGTGGTAGCACTTCTTTAATCCCAGCACGCGGGAGGCAGAGGCAGGTGGTTCTCTGTCTACAGACCTAGTTTCAGAACAAAGAAACCCTGTCACTCCAGGTGTTTGGTGGAAAAAGGTACTCTTATGGAGATAGAAGAATGGTTGGGTAAATTTCTTTAAGGGATTAGAAAAATCTTGCAGAGTATTTATATTACCAATTGACTTTTAAAATTTGCTTTTGAATTTATCTTTATGGTTAATTTTTTAGCAACACTCGCTAATGTACTGTTAATCTATATGCCTACCAATTTCCTTCCCTCCCTTCCTTTTTTTGCTTTGAGTCAGGATCTCACTCTCTATGTAGCCCCATCCTTCCAAGTCTTAAATTAAAGACAGTGAGCCACCGTGCCCAGTTTCTGCCTCTTTTCATGTAAGTACCTTACTGAGACTATTGACTAAAAAAGTCAAAATATTTGTTTTTTTTTTTTTAAAAAAAAAAGAAAGAAAAAATAGCTGGGTAGTGGTGGCACACACCTTTAATCGAAGCACTCAGGAGGCAGAGACAGGTGGATCTGTGAGTTCGAGGCCAGCCTGGTCTACAGAGTGAGATCCAGGACAGACAGGGCTACACAGAGAAACCCTTATCTCGAAAACCAAAAGAAAAATAACCCTTGAGGGTTATGATGGCAGTATCTACTCATGGTCCAGGGTTGAGATTTTCTGTTTACATGCATATGCTGGTATTTCTTACGAGCTCAGCTATTATAAGACTCTCAATAGGTAGCTCAGCGAGAATAAGATGGCAAGTCTCACATGAGACTTGAGTCCCACACCTGTATATTTAACCATAGATCAAAAGATATTCAAGCAAAAGTTTCTTGTAATTATTTATACATAGTTAAATCATCTCTAGATAACATATTTAAGGATACAGGAGGGGGGAAAGAAAAACCCAAGGATGTATTTAAGAAGATAGAGCCAGCCAGTGGCGGTGATGCATGTCTTTTATCCCAGCACTCAGGAGGTGGATCTCTGAGTTTGAGGCCAGCCTGGTCTACAGAGCGAGCTCCAGGACAGCCAGGGCTACACAGAAAAGAAACCCTGTCTCTAAAACTTAAAAAAAAAAAAAAATGTAGTTGTAGCACTATGCCATTATGTATTAAGCAATAGTTGACCACTGTGTATTCCCGTATTTGTGGGCCTGCACTGATCCGATTACAAAAGGTAAGTCGACTTTGGAGAACATGGGAATCACCCTAGGCAGGGCCCATTCTTGGCCAGGTTGTAGAGCTGAGTATTTTTACCTCTAGAAAGTTCCATGTGCCTCAAGGCTACTGGTCCAAGAATACAAATATCCCAACTATAACCCAGAAGACTGCTTTTGGTCAGAAGGAAGTTTTGAGGTAAATCAGACACCCGCCCCCCCCCCCCCCCCCAAAAGAGTGCTTGTGTACAGAAAGAATGACTCGCTCCCTCACTAGTCCATTAACTGCCTGTCTTTATCATCAGTGTTTTGAGCAAGTTTCTCTAACTTTGCATCTTAAGGCTTGCTTCATGGCTGAGTCTTTCGGTTAGAACAGTCTTGGGGGCTTCAGGCTTTCCCAAACAATGTAAGAATTGGCCATTAGCCTACTGCTCACCTTTATCAGGGCCCATAGCTTTCTGAGGCAGGACTGTGGTTCAACCACACCCTTGTAATACTGACCTCTAGGAACAGAAGGAGAAAAAACATTTAGACTGTCTACTGGGCTTGGTAGAGTATTTCCCTAGGCTTGATAACCAGTACTGCCAGGTCTGAGTTTGTGGTTAACGTGTGAGGCAAGGCCCCCTGGGCCCAGTCCTAGACCTGGAAAAAACACTTTGATGCTCAGGCATTTTAAATGAGTTAAGGGGAGGAAGGAGAGGCATACACCAGTGGGTAAGTAGCACTGGGGTGTAAGTTTAGAAAAGCTGACACCTAACTTTCCTTAGGTCAGAAGCCTTTTTGATAGCAGCAAACTTTTCCTCTAAGATACGTTGCATGCAAATATTTTGCATGTGACTTCAAGAGTCATTTATTACTGAACACCTTCTGAAACTTCCATTAGAGCCTGAGTCTTACACCCAAAACAAAACCATTTTTACAGGGATAAAGCACATTACCAAAATACTATTGTCTTTCTTAAAATCACTGGTTCCAGGGGCTGTCAAAATGGCTCAGTGCCAAGCCTGATGACCTGAATTTAAGCCCTGGGATCCACATGGGGAAGAACTGACTCCCAAGTTGTCATCCCTCTGACCTCCAGAAGAGTGCCATAGCACTTACATGCAGACAGTCTAAGTGCAATAAAAATACATTTTGAAAAATCACCTGCCCATTTATTGAAATGAGGTCTTGACAACTATAACCCAGAAGACTGCTTTTGGTCAGAAGTTAGTTCTGAGATTAATCAGACATCCCAGTGCCAACAATACAGATATCACCAAAGCTACCTGCCATGTGGGTCAGCCTAGGCAGCAGGGAGAGTAGATAGCAAAAGTTCATAGCAGACTGGGTCCAGCATGAAAGAATGCAGATATCAGGAAGAGACGAGCCGCTCACTCACTGCAATGCACAAAGCCCCTTTCAGAAAGGGGTAAAAGCAGGGGAAATAGCCATCAAGACCTTGTTAAAAGTTTTATTTATAAAAGACCCAAAACCCCTTAATTTTCTACACCGTTCTTGGTCTGACGACTAACTCCCTGCAAAGAGGTGAAGGTCCACGTAAGACCAAGTTTCACATAGGCGTGTCCTACCTTATTGACTGTCAAATTTGGGGGTGGGGGGTGACAGTCCAGCTTCTGTAGGTAAGAAAATGTAGACTTCCAAATCCATGTTTTGTTCACTTTCTCACAAGTTAAGAAGTTCTTTGCCTATCAAGATTTCTCAGAACCACAGTTTTAAGAAATGCTGGGATAGCAGCAACTTGAGGCTTGAAATGCACTGACCAGCGCACACGCATTTCATTTAGCATCCAAACGAGAAATGCCAGCTCTTCTGCTCCAAGATTGGAGTCTCTAGGCTTTTCCACTGTGACTCTGAATCAGGTTCTCCTTCCTCTAGACTTCAGGTGTCGAGGCCTGTGTCTGTGGATGCTCTGCAGCAACACACTTCCTTCACTTAGGAGCAGCAAGCCTGATTACAGACATGGCCACTCTTGCCCCAGCAAGGTGTGCAGTGGGCTCTTGAGCCTCCTCCTGAGGCACAGGAGGCAGGTTCTGGTGTCATGCCCAAGAGGGCTGCTTCCCAGCCCTAGCTTTGGGCCAGCACTGTCCCGCGGTTTGGTTGCATAAGTTCACAAGCTCTCAGCTGGGGTTCTAGCAGATGGGGCTCAGCTAGGAACAAGCGAAATAGTGTTGATAATTCTTCTGAGAAGTCCTGAAATAAGTAGAAAATTAAAAGTAATTCTAGATGGTCTGCCCTTTCTAAGGTCAGTCCCAAACAAGCTTTCATTGACAGTGGAGAGCCTGACAACCCAGGTATTGCACCCAATGCCTTCTATGCAAATAGAGATATAAACTTCCCAGACTAGCAACTAAGGTTTAAGTTCCAGCAGGTAAAGTGGACTCTGACAGGAAGCTGAGGCTTTACCATTTTTAAACATAAAGTATTAATCCTACATTATGGATACTGGTTTGCTCTGCATCACAAGAACATTTTAAACATAAACATTCACTGTGCTGTCCTTCTTCCCCTTTGGTCTTCTGAGAGTCTTGCAAAGTAGCCACACAGATCAAACCCAGTACTGAAAACACTTGGCAAAAATGCATGTAGCTGTCAACTATGATGGGCCCACAACTGGAATCCCAGCACTCGGCATGCAGAAGGGAGGCAAATTTGTGGCTAGCCTGGGCTACATAGGCAATCTTTAGGACAATTGAGACATTTTTCTCTCCATATAAAACAAAGGGATTAAGACTCCTTACCTCTGGCCACTGGGCCTCATTAAGGCTGCCCAAGCAGGCTTCTATCTCCAGCTGTCCCATGAGATCCTTTTCTACCAGCTCCCGGAGTAAGAACAGTAGTAAGTCCCACTGCAAAACACCACAGATAAGGTCAAAAGCTCAAGACCACACAGTTTTAACAGTAGGGACTGAGGACTGAATAGCAGTAAAAACAGATCTCGGGCTAGAGAGATGGTTCAGCATGGTGTTAGGAGCACCTGCTACATCTGGGTGTGGTGGCACACACCTTTAATCCCAGCACTCAGGAGGCAGAGGCAGGCAGACTTCTGAGACCAGCCTGGTCTATAGTGAGTTCCAGGACTACACAGAGAAACCCTATCTGGAAAAACAAAACCAAATTGGGATGGGGCACTGGATAATGTAAAGAACATGACTTGCAGGGATGAAGAGATAGCCCAGTAAAGCGCCTGATGTGCAAACGTGACGTGCGCTTGGATCCCTTTCGTGTGAGTGTCTATCTGTGACCCGAGTGCTGGGGGAGCTAGAGATAGGAAAATCCTGGAAGCTGAATAGCCAGCTAGATTAGTCAATCAGTAAGCTTCAGGTTCAGCAAGAGCAGTACTCACTAACAAATATGCACGCTAACCCCCCCCCCCCCCCCCCACACACACACACAAGGATCCCCTTAACACACGACGTGAGTGGAGGGGCTGGGCATGGTAGCTCACATCTATAATCAGCACTTGGGAGGCAGAGGCAGGAAGAAGGCTGCGGATTTAAGGTCAGCATGGACTACAGAGTGAGATTCTATTTGAAAATCCACACACACAGACCTAGAGAGAGGGCTCAGAGGTTAAGAGCACTTGTTGCTCGGCAAGTTCAATTCTCAGTACTGACATGGTGGCTCATAGCCTCCTAGTTCCAGGGGATCCAACAGGTATGCACATGGTGCACATACATGCATGCTGGCAAAAACTTCATACACATAAAATATATCTAAACCCCACCCCCCCACCCCAAAAGAAACCCACAACTACAGATAGAGGCCCTGAACCTGACTCACCTCCCTTGGCCGAGTATCTGCTAGAAGCCCCACATTTCTGGGGCTGAGTAGAAGCTGTAGTGGAACTGGCCCCTGGAAGTCATCCTTCCATAAGGAAAGCAGCATGTGCAGAAGCCTGCGAGCCTGTCCTCGATCTAGCCTGTGCTGTGTTGGGGGCCCTAAGATGGGGATCCGGTCTGCAACTACAGGAAGAGAAAGAAGGTAAGTTTAAATAGAGGCAGAAGAGCATGCCCTGTGCTCCTAACCTTGGGGTTTGAGGACTGTAGCATAAGGGACTCGATGGAAAAGGAACCATACCCAGGAGGGACGCTAACTCCACAGAGCACTTGGCCAGATGCTGCTCAGCAGTTGGGCACAGGAACTACGGGGAAAGGGGGAGACATGACCATCATTCTTACTAGTCAGAGGACTGGCCCGAGCCAGTGTGGCTCCTGCCACATCTCACCTGGCGGCACCGCAGTGACTGGCTCAGCTGGGTTAGGAGCTCTTCCAGATGCTCTGGGGAAACTCCCTCCTCAGGGTCCCGAGGCCCCGCAGCCAGGGAGAGCACATCCTGTAGAGAGCAGTGTTGAGACCTCATGCCAGGCTGACAGAAACTTGGTTTGGGATGGGAACCAGCCAGTGGAGAGAGGCAGAAGGAAAATAGAGTCCAAGGGATTGAAGCAATCGAGCCAAGGTGTTCTTAGGGCTGAGGCTCAGGCAGTATAGCACAGCTAGGATGAGCACTTATGCGGACAACCCAGAGCGAAGTAGATGGGGCGATAAGCCTACAGACTGTGTGCTGCCAGAGAGCACCAAAGATGTCACTCGAGACAAAACGACCTAACCAATTCCCAGAGGGCATCTTAAAATAGTCAGGAAAACGGTCCTATCTAGAGTCTGAACATCTCTCTCATGTTCCTCTGTTCATCTTCTCAGACATCTCAAAAGAGAAATCCTCTGCATATTGAGAAGTGGTATCTAGCCTGATACTTTTCTCTCTCCTTCCTAGTCCCCACCAATGGGCATTGCTTTCTGGCCTCTAATCTGCATCCTTATTCCCAGACCACTACTTTGTTTGGAGCAGGGAGTTACAAGGCCTAAATATTACTCCACTATTCATCTCTGCTTTGGTAGCACAAAGCAGCCAAATGTTTTATAAACAAACGATGTGGTTGCATTCAATAAAACTTTTATTTACAAAACCAAGTCATTGTGGACCACGGTTGTTTGCAGGCTCTTGCTCTACAGAGTCAGCCCCCACTCCCATACCAAGGGATAATCTGTAGGGCTTACACTATCTACTTGTTTTATAAATTTTTAAGCCAATCTCATTTAAGTTGCCCAGACTGGCCTTAGTTCTGTGATCCCTCCTGCCCCAGCCTCCAGAATAGCTGGGAACCACCAGGCTCGTTTTTTTTGTTTTTTTTTTAAATCTTATTAGAATGGATAGTTTATGCTT